CCCCCCCCCCCCCCCCCCTGAAAATCGTATTTTTCATTCCCGGATATGGTCGTTCGCGGATTGCACTCCAATTTGGGACAGCGGATCGCTCTCGTCTCGTGCGTGAGCCCACTGCATGCAGTTCGGTGTGCTGGATACGATCCTCAGGACTTCGGCCTATCCGCGCTCCCCAGGTAAGTGAAAGTTCTACTGCTGAGATGCTGCTATGTATTTTATTCGGATATCTACTCACTGTAAAGACTTCAACACATCCCCTTCGAGTGTAGTTATACCTCGAACGGGTAGTCTTTCTGTGTGTATATTTGTTTCTCCTAATATCCGTACCCGTTTGTGACACAAGATACCACATCCCCTACACCGATTTGCAAGGCTCGACTACTCCTCGACACAAGGATGTACAGCAGTATACATCAAACGGCACGTTTTCAGAAAGCGCTAGACGGGTCGGTTCCAACCTCACCATTTTGACGCCACCACTCTTTGCTGCTGCGGAGTAATCGAGCTTTAAAAATTGGTCAAGAGGGTGTGATATCTCGAGTGACATACAGCACTAACTGCCGTAGGTCTACGATGTATTCCTGCTGCAGACGTATTTCGGGATCATACGAACACTATTATGTGAATCACGATTTTTCGGGGTATCTGTGTTTTGTGTGTTTTCGTCCTATTTATTCTGGCGACAGGTCTCCCCGTTTTTCGTGGTGAGACGTGTACTGGCGGCCGGTTCTGCTACTTGAACGATTGGCCGTTCTGCACCTCGCTAAGACACTTCAGTGTAGAGTACTAGTCTGCACTTAAAAGTGTATTTTTTCGTACAGAAACAACCAACCATGCAGGGTCACTCAGGAGGGGGGTAAACACCGGGGCTTTTCTCTTTCGTTTATTTTCGTGCCTCACATTATCCTGCGGTGCGTACTGAGTGTTTTTCATCTCGAGAAGGGTCCAGCCATCCCTTTCCCTCGTCAACGGATGGGGTAGCGAAAAGAACGACTAAAAATCTCCATGTGCATATGATACAAACAAGCTTCCAGTGATAACGTAATTTCTTGCATGCATTTTGCGAAGGAATACCACCACGGTAGCGGGGGTCCCGCTATCAGTGGGTGGGTGCAGGCGAGTCGGACCCGGAATAAGGCGGTGACTACCCAACGCAAACCAACTTGAAGGCAGTGACCACGAGCGAGCGCACGTTCTGGTTGAGCTCTTGTGCTTCTCTGTTCCAAGAGAATGCAAAGAACGCGAAGAACATGCGTACAACGAGAAACAAATGTGGCGCACTTATATGGCAACAAAGAGTGGCGACGTGAGAGTCGTTGGCCGAACGAACCGGTGTTCAGGGAAGCGGCGTCCTTATTTCAGCTTGAATACCGCTACTTTTTTTTTGTTGCACTCCTTGTTGGTTGTCAATGCGAAGGCCTCTTGATATCTGTGCTTCCGAATCTTACTGATTGTTTATTTTTCCATTCTTTATTGTGTGTGATGTAATTTCCCCTGCTGCTTCCAACGTTTGTTCGATGTCTCAGAAGCGTCGATATTGCGACATGGGGTCTCGCCAGAGGTTCCAAGTGCATCCATAAGTCGTTGGTAACTCACCTCGAAACCTGTTTATGTTCTTCGCGAACCCTGACAAACCCACGGGCCTGATCTTGAACTCCTTGGTATGCTCACTCTGTCTCTATCGCTCGAGCTGGTGTCTCGAGACCGGGTCTTGGCTTGCTTTAGCTCATAGCATTGTTCGCGGACAAGCGCTGTAGGAAGATCGGATACCGTGTGTCAGTTAATAATCTGAGCTATGATACAAGCAAGCCAAGACCGTCCTCGAGACAACAGCTCGACAGACGCAGAGACAGAGAAGACCATAAGGAATCGAAGCTCAGGCGCGTGAGTGAAGTGTCGGCACTCGTTCGCAAGGAGGCGTAGGATACGAGGTAAGTTGTTGGAGACCTTCGCACTGCTGCTGCACGTTCTTTCTTGCCTCTGCTTCTGACGAATTTTGACATTTTCTCACACCCATCTTGTCGCCACTGGTTATAGCTCATTTTTACTGTTCAGGCAGACAAGGAACGGGTCACGTCAGCCGTGGTAATCAGGTACTGAGCATCGTTCAAAATAGGAGTTTCTTGTGGGCGGGCCGTGGCTGTAGTCGAAAGGCGGCCTTCACCAGGTTGTACTAAATAGTGAAACTCAACCTAGCATGTAGGTGGACGTGTATGCACGTGTCTCCGTGCTGGTATCTCGTTTCCTTCCCCATGTTCTAAGGAACAAACCACCTATCGCACTCAGTTTCACCAGGCACTGACTTCCTCGGGTGTGGCACATTTGGAGATAGTTATGTATGTGAATTTACGAATCGACGCCATCACGCGGTGCACCAACCCTTGGCAAATCCCGGTCAACAATGCATTTCATTCTCCACTTCGTGCGTAAAATCAGTTCTGGCTTAAGAACACCCGAACCTCTCCTCCAGCCCAAGCTTCATGATAGGGTTTGGGATGACCAGGGAGGAGATTCTCTGGCAAATCCCCCCCCTCCTCCACCTACCTCGGTCCTGTACTTTTGCACAACAATGTAGTCGCTTTGGTTTCGGTGCAAATGCCACGCGACAAGCTATCTATTTAGTGAACCCCTGTACCTCGAAGACATGCAGCCTCTTCGCGACATGCAACACCGTTGTTCTGAGATCCCACTCCAAATTATCTGTTTTTTCTCTTCAACCTACCGATCCTGTCACCCCGCACACAATAACGTATCGCCAATTTCCGTGCACATGCCATCCGGTAACGTCAACCACGTAGCGGCCCTCTGTCCCTCAAAGGCACCATGTATCTTCGTCATATGCAATACCGCTGTTCTGAGATCCAAACGCCATCAATGCCGTCGCATCCAAATATCTCTGTTTCTGCCGTTCAATGTACCGGTTCTGTCCTTCTGCACAACAATTTTTCGCCTTGGTTTCCGTGCACATGCCACCCAGAGAAGTCATCCACGTAGCGGCCATCTGTCCCTCAAGGGAATTCTGTCTCTTCGTCACATGCAATATCGTGAGATCCAAACGCTAATTAATGCCCCAAACTCTGTTTTTGCCGTTCAATGTATGGGTTCTGTCCTTCTGCACAACAATTTTCGACTTGGTTTCCGTGCACATGCCACCCGGTAGAGTCAATCACGTGGCGGCTCTTTGTCCCTAAAAGGCATGCTGTCTCTTTGGAGCATGCAACACCTTTTGCTAGATCCAAACGACAATTTGATCGCAACCAAATCTCTCTGTTTTTGTCATTCCATGTACCGGTTCTGTCCTTCCGCACAACAATTCATTGCCTTGGTTTCAGTGCACATGCCACCCGGTAAGTCAACCACGTAGCGGCCCTCTTGTCCCTCAAGGGAATTCTGTCTATTTGTCACAAGCAATACCGATGTTCTGAGATCCAAACGCCAATGCCGTCGCACCCCAAACTCTCTGTTTTTGCTCTTCAATGTACCCGCAGCGACTTCTATACACCAAGTTGTGTCGTCTCTGCCGTGCCCCCCTCCGGAACCCTGCACCACCCCATGCCTTCCGTGGTAGTTTTCGCTTGTCCTGCCAAGCAGTCAATCAATAGCAATCACCATTCCTTCGAAATCCACGGCAATCACAACAGCAGTGACTGCACACATCCCTTCACTTCAAGTCACAACAAACCACCGTTTCACGGCAAGGTGTTATCCTCGCATACACCGTGTGCTATTCTCGGGGATGCCGTGCTACGCGTACTTCGCCCAAAAGCGATGACCTCAACTTTGACTCCGAGTGGCCATGCGCTCTGGAGGACGAAGTGTCGTGCTGATCTTCGTTGCCCCATCGAGACCCTCGTGCTCTGTTCAACCGTACGAGCAACATGCGGTTGTTTTGACCAAGCAACACGGCCCCGCACAGCCAATCCGTCGTCTGGCTTGGTGTGCTAGCTGAGCGCGCATGGTGCCATGGACCGCTGTTCCGACGAGCTTAAAGGAATGTCAAGGCCGGGTTTCTGCAACAAGGGAGGCTGGCGCGGCTGTTCGTTTGGACAGACAGACGGGAGAGGCGGGAACAGGGCCATACAGACGGAGGCAAGCCCTTCTGGTTACCATCGTTTTTCGCACGTCAACTCTGGACCTGCTTAAGCGAAGGGAAAACATTTTTCAAACTTTTCCATTGTTGCATTCTCTCTGTTTCAGGAAGACAATTTTCAAAGCCCATGTTTCGACTGGCAAAGTTATAGGCGTCTCAAAGGTGGAACAGGTGATGGAGAGCCACCCCCTTTGGTTGTGCGGACAACCCAAACCCACACCTGCACAAAGGAAGTAGTGTTGTCAAATGCTTGGTGCACAACTCTACCGGGCATTGGCGGCTGGGCAGCTGTAGCCACCGTTTCAACAGGTGCATTTGAAGACATGAGGAGAGATTTCAGACTTCGCCCACCGCGAAGAACATGCCACATTGCGCATCGAACACATGTTCGGCGCTCACCTGCGTGGCCAGCGCACACCGCAGCACCTCTTGAAAGGAAACGTTTGCCGTGAGGTTTCCGTACTGTAGCAAGATTTCCAACCCGTTCAGCGTTTTCAAGGACGGTGCTAACACCTGTCGAGGGAAAAAGGTAACGTTTTCTTTCGCGTCACAACGGTTGGGGTTTGCGGTCGGTCCATGTTGCACGACGGCACTTACAGCTCCTTGGAGCTCTTCGCTTGGGAGGTTTGCCTCAAAAGGAGCCACAGGTTTGAGGACCCTCAAGCGAAGCATTTACCAATCCGAGATGCACTCCGTTCGGAATTTATCTCCATGTCTCCAACGCTTTTGGATGACATGCAGCGAAGTCTGTTCGGCCGCCGGCACAAGCGTAGGGATTGTCTCATCTCGTTCCTGACGGATGATCAACACTAGGACGTACCCCTACCACGACCATCAGAAAAATACGGCGTTCCCCTATCTTGTGCTTTGTCAAACCTCGAGGATGGCGAGGCCCAACCGGATCATGACGTCGTCCAAACGCACGAGGAACAGGTCAAGGGCGCAGAGCGCGAGGGGCAGGGGGGTATTGCGCGCGTACGCCGTGGTGAACCACTCCGCGCACAAGAACGACATCGGAACCGCCTGGACGGACGAGGAATCAGGTCGGATAATTCGATTGGAATATCGCGGAGGGGAAAATTGTGGGTCGATGTATATAGTGCGGCGTGTTAACCAACTTTCGACGCCGACCCGCTAGTTGGAAACGCCTATTTCGAGGAAATGCCCAAGGCCTTGGTGTCTCAGATTGAACACAGGCTATGGAAGGCTACCATATACCATGTTTTAGTGTTATGGCCGGCAGCTGAGCCCAGTTTCTTAGGCTATGTTTCTTGTTTGTTCGTTTTTTTAAGAAGCTGAGCCTCTGCTTCTTGTGAGGATGTTTCCTTTTTGGGGACCGGCACTCTATCCGCTGACGGGTGTTTGTGTGGTGATCATCAGCAGGGAAATGACTGCCTGGCTACACATCTCCGACGAGCAACATGCGACACATGTGCGCTGGCCCGCTAGTAGTAACGGTATGGGGTACCAATCCACGGGGACCGGGGCAGAAGTAGGAAACCTTATGTCAGACGTTGTTGTTTTGGCCGTGGTGGCAAGCGCAAAATGTGCGAAGTATCTACACCCTGATTCGTCTAATCCGCGAGCTGACTACATACGCAACGGTTGAAGCGAGAGCGGAAACTCCACCGTAGGGGTTGCCATTTAACACTGGCGCAGGCTTTCAGGATCCGATTTCTGTCGCGACCGATGCAGTGATGGGTGCTATTATTTGTAACATGTGCGCTGGACTTTCCTGCGCTGACGCCAGCAGCTCCGTTTTGGTGTGCGCGTACTCTCGTGTGACTGCAGTTTGTGGCGCTTGCGGTTCGCTGAGGGCGGGTAAGCTTCCGTACCTCCTTGCACAGGTGACCATGAAGTGCTGGCAACCGTCGCTTCAAAGCCTTCCCGAAGATGCGCACGAGCCGCGGCAGCATCTCGTCCACGACCACCTGCCGGGTGGGCTGGCGAGTGGCAGACCACCGCCAACGAGACACATACATGCGCGTTCAGGTTGCAGACTTCCAAGTCTCGGCCTCTCTGCGGCAGCATGCGTATGGAATACTTTTACAGTTTCCCCTGCCGTTGATCTCGTTGTGTGAGGTAAGGGTTCTTAGCTGACTTCGCTTGATGGGTGTGTGTGAGTACAACAACAATAGTATTCCCCCCCCCCCCCTTCTTGCTCCGACATCTAAATGCTGGATTTTATCACCTCTTCCTCCAGTTCGCCTATTTCCCATCCACAGGCCCTGTCCGCACCATCGGTGTCGCGTATCGTGGTGGCTTTGTCCTTCCGGAGAGAACCGGCGCTGACCACTTTGGAACGGGTATCTCCTTCCGCCATGCGTAGGTGTCCCTGGCCAGGAAACGGATATTGACCATCACCGCTCTCCCCCCTAGCAGCAGCTTCGGAGGGCGTTGGGCTCCGAGCAGCACCGAACGCGCGAAACGTCACCACACGACCGCCGCACAAGTGGTACGCGTCGAGGAGATCGACGTCGCCTAGCGGAAACAGAGCCTGCATCACTCGCTCCTGGACAGGTCCCCGTTGGGTTTCAGAGGCGAGGAGGCCGTGTCAAAGATGGAGGCACGTTGATATTTTGGAGGGAGTCCCATGGAAGGACCATTCGTTCGTGTACGTAGATGTGCATAGCATCACTCGCGTTTATGGCTCGGTTAAACTTGATGGCGGAGCCATTTTGGTCGGGCGAGTCGCGCTCCATGTCGGACACACCGTGGTGGTTGGAATTCTGTCTTGCCTATGCAGCTTTGACTTTGGGTGCATGTACACCAACAGAAAAAATGTTATGCGAGGTGCTCGTTGCTGCAACCATGAACAGAGCATGTTCTTGTTGACGAGGTACATATGTGACGTGCCCAAAAGGTACTGTCACACATGAAACGACTCGAATGTTTTCGGCACCTGAAGCAAGGTGACCAACGTCGCGTAAGCCATGGCTTCCACTGGCTCTTGAACGAGCACCAGCGCTGCCATGTAGCTCATGCCGGACACGAACTGCAGCGTGGATGCCGTGGCAAAGGCGACTCTGAAAATAGGTGCCAAAGATTGGCAAATGATCAACAGGGACGGAGGATACGACAACAGTTCAGCCGGGCATTGCCCCCCAAGAGTGGTGCCCCGGCGACTGGCGTCCGGAACCTGAACGCAGTTTTTGTTCCCCCGCTGTATATCGCCACACCATCCGTCGGTAGTCGCCGAATCAAGTCTTTTCGCGGATCGTGGTCACACTCAAGCTTGACATTTTTTGCCTGTGATGCGCGTGATTCTCTGCCAATGGCAAAGTTGATATCCCAGGAACACCCCGAACGGGCGGCGCCATGTACTCTGTTTGCGCGCCCAGAAATTATTCGGAGGAACTTGTGGATATTTCTTGTGACCGGCCTAGATTTCATTGAATAGGCCACACAACCGCAACGTAGAACAAGACAAACAAGATGTACAACAGTAAGTTCTTAGGCTATGCCATGCCCGTGAAAAAACACCCACGACGAAAGGTTGCACGTAGGGGGTCTGCAGTTCTTTTTTTTTTTCTGTCATTTTCCCTCATCGCTGGCAATGCGCTACACCACGAAAGCGGCGAAATCAAGAAGTTCATTATCTTTTGGATCCCTTTGTGACCCTACCAAGAACGCACCTGAACACGGCGTGTTTGGACCCTCCCGCGAAGTGCGCCGGACATACATGTCCTCCGCCGCCCAACTGAGAGGCCGAAAAAAATCCAGGGCGCGCCCCGTGGCGTCTCGGCGACATGGTACGATTGACGTCCTTCCACACTTTGGCAGCCAATGCTCTCTTGGCCTTGTTGCAACCATCAGTATTACTGCTTTTGCGCAGGCCCTTCCGGCTGCTGATCAAGCGCTGATAGTTGTTCCTGAGTTTACACTTGACAAGCCCTGTTCTACCTGAGAAATCGAGATAGGTCGAGGTAGGGGGAAGGAACGATGAAAATAAGAAAACTGCGCCGAGGCAGGCAGACGAGGCGTCTGGCCTGCTTACTCTTCTAAGCCCTCCTTGCTTGCCAACAGCCAGGTATCGTGAAAAAGAAGGTGCCACCGCAACCACAACACCAGGTAGACGAGGGTTTCGGAGAATGACGGGACTCGACCGAAACATGTCAAAATCACTTTGTTCCCGTACTTTCGACGTGTGTGCGGTAATACTGTAGTACCCCCCGCACTGCGTAGGTCTTGCCAAGGTCCTTGAAACAGGGGGACTACAAATAAATGTAGTTGGGGTGAAAGTTTCGTGTGGGACTTTCGTTTTCGATTGCTCAGCTATGAGAACCCGCAGCCGGCGTTCGTTCACGAAATTCCCCGTGCTATCTTGTGGTTGACGCGAGGGGTTTGAGCAGGACGATATACTGACCAACAGAACAATTCAAGCATCCCAAGACAAGCGGTACTACCATATACTTCGATGTCGGAGCTGCATACCTTTTAAGGCATGCCCATCCGCCGAGCGCGAACAAACAACCAGTTTCCGGAGTTTTGCCTGCGGACAGACGACCATGTAGAATGATGGTTTCATCTGGGTGCAGTTTCAATTGATCTTTTCCGTCAACAACTTGAACGTCGTGCTCGTGGGAGACACGTTCTTATAGATAGTGGGTAGCCTCGCAGCCTGCTAAGGGCCAGGTCATGGGTTCGAGTCCCGGCAGAGAGAGTTATTTTCTCACTAAATAAATCCTGGTCTAGGATGAAAGCGACGCGCTGCAAAGCTCGTTTGTTAGTAAACCATAATCGACTTCGTAAGTCGCGAGGGAAGGGATTGCTGTACCCTTCTCGCGATAAAAATACCTCAGGCATGAACCGCAGGAGAGGGTCCAACCCCCCCCTCCTATGTGACCCCGGGTGGGTCGTCTAGCTAGTAGAAGTGGAGGATAGGGGCCAGAGGGGCAGACGACAGAGTCCAATGATGGGAGAAAAACAAACAACAAAAAACAAAAAGATAGCGACATACTGAAATTGGTAGCCTCGCTTCGCTATGCTTGGTGTCGGGCGCAACACCAACACTACGTATGGCATACTTCAACGGGAGTACGCAAAGCGTGTGCTGTTAAGCAGCGCCAATCCCGTACAAAGTTAGCGTGTGCTCACCCGATCCGAGTGAGAGTCTGGCGAGAGATTTCTCAGCAGCCTCTGCCAAAGGCGCCTTCTTGATGCTACTGCCTCGTACCACTGCTCCATACCGCCCGATCGGAGCTGCCGTCGTGCACGCAGTATCACCGCCACTGGACATCCGTCCGCTTCGGTCTACAGTTTAGTAACGGGTGGCCGAAAGGGAAGCCAGGATGGATTACCGGAAATCGGCACATAGTCTATACTGTGTGTGTGTTTGAGTTCCTCTGCATGTGGTCGACAGGTGAACGTTTTGCGGTACTTCGTTGAATGCCGTTTTTCGTCAGAAGTTGCACGAGATATGGAAGGAACTGCTGTCTTCTCTGGCTTCGTTTAAAGTGACGTGACCCCATTTCGGTGGCAAACAATTTCATTCTGTGATAATTCCATGCGGACGATCTCTGATGGCCCAATCTTGTTCCTTGCGGCGCGGGGTCACCTGTACCTCTCTGTTTCTGCATGGGCGTTCGTGCACGTACCTCGATCTTTGGCGAAGGACTCGAAACCAGCCGACCAACGCACGAGGCGTTTGGCGGCTGCTTTCCCCCACATCCCGACTTGCCCATCATCCCGCAGCACCCATCCCAGCCACCACAGCAAGCGATCCGAAAGGGGGGCTGCTGTCGAGCTGCACCGCGGCATTTTCCACCGCCGCCATAGCCGTTATCACGGCCGACAAATCTTCGCCCACACGCGTGTCGAAGGAAAGTGAGGTGGGTCGGACGTTCCGCTTGATCCAAAAGGCTGGCAACCTCTGTAAAGCTTTTTTTCGTCACCTTTTCAATGGGAACGGAAAGGAAGGTTGAGATGAAAGAATGTGGGTCCGTCAGGAGGCTGCATGGCCATTGTGGGTGTGCTGCAGGCGGCCGACAAATAAACACCAGTTGAAAACTATCCCTCAGCCATACGCACTTGGATGTTGTGATTTTTACGAGCATTTCAATCCAGGTCTTTCGAAATTCAACGTGATAATCTCTCAGGCTCCTCCTACAACAATGTACTGATGCAAGCTGTGCACACCTGCACGTTATCCACCCGAACAAGTATATCTCCTTCATCCAGCTCGAGGACTCCCACGACTCTCCCGCGTGATTCACTTGGAGGAGAAGGCGCTCCGTTGAGGATGTTGCCTTGGCGGGTGCGGACGGTCATCGTCGCGTGGTCACGTTCGAGGCCTACCGCCCGAACCTTGATGAGGCCCGACGATGACAATCTACCGTCGAGCCATGGATCCAAGACCCTGGCTTGGTCGTCGTCCACCTTCCCAGGTACGTTTGATACAAGCATGGAGTGCGCGAACATCCCACTGTCTGCGGCACAGTCACTCCACGCCTGTTTCAACACAAGAGTCTCCCCCACTCGGTAGCTGGCCTCGAGGGAGAGGCCAAGAGGACCAGAATCAACACGCACAGTGAGTCCGCGGCAACCGCATCGGGCGCGCGGTTCATGAATCGCAGTGGACGAGTGATGATTGGGTTGGGAGGTTGGGGTGTAGTTGCTGTTTCTTGAGCGGAATACGGCAACAGGCTGAGGAGAGGGACTCAACGGGGCAGGATCCCGCGCCTGTGAAGATACGGACAAGGTGTGGTCCCTATTCATCACCGCTGATGATCCCAGCACTTTCCCCGCTTGCTTACGAGACCTCGGACTAGGTGGTCCCGGCAATGATAGCAGAGGCGAGGAAGCGTGCACGGGAGCAGCAACGAGAGCGATGTCGCCATCGTCACCATGATGTTGTCCTCGTTCCGCCATGATTGTGGCCCCAGTATCTCCGCCCCAAATGTTCTTCCTCCTGCTTGCTGGCTCTTCGTCGCTGCTGTACGTCCCGCTGCAAGTGGATTGTTCCGACGTATTCGAATGAGTGCTGTTGTCGTTTCGGCTATCTTGTTCTTCGTCGGGTTCCCCGTTGCAGTTCGATGTCTGCTGGCAATGCCTTAGCTTGATAGGGGATGTTGTTGGCAGGGCCTGCCGAAGTATGCAAGAGGAATAATGCCGCGTTCTCGACACCCTCTTCCCTGGGGACCACGTCTCATGGTCGCCTTCGTCGGAGCTGTCTTCTTTGCCCTCCTCCGACAAGTTATATCTAGCTGACATCACGGCCGCGTGGTCGTCATGATCATGATCCACCGACTTCAAGGGGTCTGAGATTGGAAGACCCTCTGTCTCGTCTACCCATTGGACCCGTAGCTCCGTCCGAGGCTCGCGCAAGGACATGGCGTCATCTACTCTTGATCGACAGTGTGTGCACGAGCAGAATGCGTCGTGCTTGCCCGAGGTCTTACACTCGTCGGCGCAATAGACGTACATGTTTTTTTTTTTCAGCCGTTTTACTAATTCTCCCCGCAGCTGCCATAACTGCTGTCTGCTTGCATGTTCATCTCATATCCTCCCGATCGCTTGGTGGTTTCATTAGTTCATCCACGCATTGCTTCGTTCGTAGTGGTGCTATCGAGAGGAATTATTGTCCTTGAGTTCATACAAGTCATGTTCAGTAGGTCAGTAGAGGTGCGCATGGATGCAAATAGATCTTCGATGGACTGTACTGCTGTTCTCGGCATAATATGTGCCGGTTGGTGTCAACGATATGCAGAGGAATCGCGGAATCGCGTGAAAGATATGCGGAGGAATAACACATGTCCATGTCTCCACGTCCGTCTCGGCATTCCTTGCTTCTGTGATCTGTGATCGACTTCATCCGTTGTGATCCCTTGGTGTTACAAGGGTTCGTACGAGTATCCCTATCCTTGCCACTCCCGTGGATACTATACTCCTTGTCGGACTACTCTGGCGGATCTGTCTGAATCTTGGCGGCAAGCGCTGTGTTTACACATCACATAGTCTTACCTTCTTATTACGCGAGGTACGGCTGCAGCACTTCTGTCGTCGGCAACAAACTCTCTGAGCTATCAAACTCGGCTAGTATCGGTAGGTGTCAGCCTCTGCTGCCACCTACAGGGAAATGCACCACAATTTCCCGTAAGACTTGTTTGTGGGATGCCTCCTTCGTACACGACAGGACGGCGCGACGCACCACAACAACAGCACACGTGTGTTTGAGCTGCCATTGACACATGTTTTGACAATTGCTTTTTGTGGCAGTTCTTGTAACCAATGTAAATATTAAAATAACAGCAGTGATACTAAAGATGGCGCCCGCACATTTTGCGAGAGGCTCGAGGCGTGTTGGCTGCCGCGTCGTTCATAGTTTCCAACTTCATATTTCGAGCAGGCATCCGCCGAGGGCGAACAGGGTTGGTCATTGTTTCCTTTTCATGGACCCCATGCAAGGGGACATGTAGGTCTAAACTCCCAGCTGTGTAATGTACACCAGCAGAGAAGAAGAAGATATACCTGTACAAAGGCGGGATCGCCTAAAAATAATGCACCCTATGGTCCACAAGGGCCACGTCGGGCGCTCGTATCCTCTCCACTCTCTAATAGCACTCGCCCGTATAGCTAGAATGGTGTTGACGGCCTTCCCTGTGCTCTGTGATGGTAGGACCCGCCCCCTGCTTTACGGTGCTGCTCCCTTCGAGCAAAGGGCGGTTCTTGTTCTTGATACCACGTCGGAACAAGTCTTGTTTTTATGGCCTAGATTGTGAACACTTCGAGGCTCGATCTCTTAACTGCCAAGATTACGCGTGGACGCGACCCGTACTTATCGGTGGTCCGTTCTGATCATGTGTTGGTGTGTGTGAACGTAAAGTCCAAGTGACCGTCAATGTCTGTATGTAGTGGGTGTTCATTTAGTGGGATCGGCAAACAACTTGCGCTGCCTTCATCACAACACACACAAAAATGAAACAGGTAGAAAACCGCAACCCGCAACCGTTGCAGAAAACCATTCATTGTACTTTTCACAGTGAGTGTTGGGAAACACGGTAGTCCGCTTCTGCTATGCAATACCGTTGGAAAACACAACGGGCTTCCACCAGGCATGTGCCGCATCGTAGAACGCATTCCACTCAGATTTTCGTTTTTCTCTTTACAACAAAGCATCTAAGATGCTTCCCTCCCTAGTTGAATGAAGCCGCCCTCACCATGTAGTTTGATTTCTCTTTGATGATCCCGTTAAAGATGCAGCGAATAAAAAACAACAAAATATCCGTTTTTACGGTGGGGAGGGAGCTGGGCAATTGAAAGACGGGTTTACTTGTACTTCGAGTGTTTCTGTCGACGCCAACAAGATCAAATGATCGGGAAAAGTTCTGAATCTTGGGTTGTAGTGTTAGGGTTAGAGTGTAAGCGGCTCTCCGCGCCTTCCCGCCGAAATTGGGTGTTGTATCTAGACTAGAGACTATGTTAACCCACGGCCGATGTTAATGACATAAACTTGAGTGTTGGATCAGTACGGACATACGAAGGTGGGTAGAGCGAGATCGGAACGGTTTTTAATGTTAAGACAACAACAACAACAAACCTTGTTTGACACACCGTGCTCTTTTTCCAGCACACAAAGATCGAACACATGTGCGTGCTCTCTCTGGAGGGGCCCCGCACTTGAACCACCAACAACATTGCCCCCCCCACACATATTTTCCAGATCAGATCTCGTATCCAAGTACCCCAAACAAATCTCGTACAAAGTATTTAGTCTGTCCCAGGAGGTCGAGCCTCGGGCCACATGACGGAAGAATGCACGGATAGATATGATTGTGTATGTACGAGACTAGGAGGAATAAAGCTGTTATCATAGTCGAGTCATATTAATGCTTCTTTTGTGACTCCAACTTTAATGCCGACGCAATCATGGCGAAGTTTACTGCAACACCGTCGATTGATAACAACACGGCGGTGTACAGCTATGCGCATATAGCCGGACGTCTGCCTCGTACATATGTCGGGGATGTGTAAATGTCCATGTAGACAGTAGCCAAGTGCTATCCCTTCTGCGTTCGCTGTTTGCTACGCAGACAAAAATAGTACTAGTACCCAAGCAACGATGACCGTAGGAGCAATGCTACGGTAGGGGGGACACTTTTTAAGACATGGGTCACATGCTGTCGCCCGACAAGGTCCATATAAATGCTCGTAACTCTCTTAATTTTTGCATTTCAAGGAAATCAATCCTGCCCAGGCAGCCGCCTGGCGTATATCTCGCGGTGTGCAAAACATAAGCATTTTTTCCATTGGTTGAGGCAGTACACACCAGTCCGCCAAAACACGCCATGTGACCGAGGGGGTACCCTCTATCGTAACATCCCTCGTAGGATAGCATGAGCGCGTTCGGTGTTTATGCTGGAAAATGGAGCAGAGACCCACACGCTGTGTGACATGTTCCTGTACGGGCTGTCAGGTTACGGTCGGAATGTACGGGCTGTCAATGTATGGTCAGAATAAATCTCAGAGGATCCCAACATAGGCGGTGAACTATTCAGGGCCCGCAACGGTAGATGTATATGTTTTCATTGTTTCTAGCGTTCAAGAGCTCACCAGCGCGCCTCTGTCTCTCACGTTCATCTTCTACCTTGAAAATCGGGCCCTGCAAGTAGACTCGGCAATTAGTAACGATATATGTGTCATCGTTCGGAGGGCCACCAAGTTGCGTAATAGCACTCAGCAGTGCTCCACTTCTCGCATCTATCAAGCTTCCTTCACTTCTCAGCGAGCACCTGCGGTAAGCTCTCCAGAGCGGCTCAGCCCCACGCGCTACCGCTGCAATACTATCTCCAAGAGTGCATGCCCACAGAAAAGCTGTGTCTTTCAACCCATGCGACGACAAGGCCAAGAACCAGCGATGAAATGTTTCGGACGGTTTCTCGTGACGCTGCCAACGGCTTTGTACTTCTTCTACATGTGCATTTGAGTACAAAACACGTTGCTTCTGCTCTACTCCCACGCATCGACACATTTCTCGCTCTCTGTACTCGAAACTGGGATCACATTTCCGGCACAAACGCTTGTCGGCTAGAACAGTGCAGCTCGGTATCAGCGGTATTTCCATAGGCTGGTGGTGTTCGTTCGCCCTCTCCTAATGTACTATCGTTGACGACGAGCACCTGCCGACAAAGAGACAAAAAGATCAACGAACAGCGCTTAGACGATCATACCCAAAGTTGATTCTCAACCTAGACCGTGAGGCGTAAGGGTAGAGATGTAGAGAAAATGTGCCGATTGAAAAAACGTTTCCTGTACATTTTTAGGAGCACTGATCACCGTGTCCCGAGGCTATATCGGCACGTGTCGCTTAGATTGGTGTATTCGCAGATTTTTTTTTCTGGCAATGTACACCAACAAGTTGAAATGCTTTTCGGGTATGACACGCCGACACAAGAATCAGATGTAGGTGTGGTGTCAAGGAGCGCACTGATATGAAACGACGATACGAAGACCAAGCCACGTGGTACCGCAATACATATGTGTCAAGCGCAAAGGTGCGACAATTGCAATGTATCACTGCTGTACACCATCGCGTTTAACGTTTTCACTATCGAGAGCGTTCCTGAACGTGGAACAAAGAGAGTGTTCCTGAGCGTGGAACAACGAGAATTAACCATGGAAGAAAACAGTACACAAAGTCTCTGCTAGGCGGGGACCACGGTAGGAAAATCATTCAAGATTGAACAAACTGAAGTCAACGCCGCTCGACTCCTGTGGATGAGTCGTAATGGACGTGCGGCGAAATCATGAATTTCATGCGAGGGGGACACCCATGGCGAGGTTTCACGTCGCGTTGCAGGGTGGCGTCCCGTGGTCGCAATTCATGCTGACGAATAAAAAAAGCAGTAGAAGCGAAGTTGGGGTTTACGATGTGAGGGCCGCACGTCGAGTACATCGATTTGTACTTCCTCGGACAGCCACACATGTATCCGTTTGTCGGCAGCAGCAACAAACGCATGCGACAGATTCACGCAAGGTGGCGTCGCACTGCAGCATCCTTCAATCCGTTGCACGAGGTATCTCATGCAACCGACGTTGCAATAATGATACGCTAATTTTCCGGTCAACCAAGGTCAACCCACGTACACATTTTTCTTTCGAGCTACCATACATTGTACTTGCAGTTAGAAATGTAACACGACACGACCGCAGTCCTGTGAGTAGTCTTATAACATGATATACCCCTCCTTTTAGCACGGCCACACTTTTGCACCGGTAGGTCCAGATGCCGTTGCCCGGGGTACATGGACATGCAGATAGACACGCATTGATGGGAATATATCTTCTTGACCTGCCCAACGAAGCATACGACTAAAACCTTGATACACAAACAGGCATTTCTCAGTTCAACGGGTAAGAGACTCACCTTGCTACGGCAACAACAGACGCAGTCATGGTTGTGTGAAAAGGAACTGGCCGGTTCGTTGTAAACTAAAGGATGTTGTCGTCGTCTCTATTCCTCGTGCTACGCTTCGCAAGCTCTCGCCGCATAACCAACACCCGGTTGTGGTCCCCGGCGTGGAGCTGGCGAAAGTTGTATCGTGTTCGGCACATGCCAATGACAAGGCTGAGATAGTAGGCTAAGAGCAACGCCCACGTAGCCAACGCCACCGACGCGAGGTCTCGAGATTGCAGGAGCCGCAACCCCGACAACGTGGTGTGTTCCGGCACCGCGCATCTCCCTGACTGGACACAATCGATCTGAGTGCCCAGAGCGTACGAGGAAAGCGTGTCCAACACGATGGCCTGCATCATGCCAACCAAGCAGGAGAGCCTAGCTGCTTGATGGGTGTCCACAAACATCCCCACGAACACCAAGCCAAAGTGCAGGACCGGGCGGCCCCAGCCGTAGTTCCATGACGATCCATTGCCGAACGACGTGATTGGAGTGATCACCGGACGGATCTCCGATGCAGCCACCCAAAACAGTGGAAACAGTAAGAGTATGAACGCCCCAGACAAGCAGCGGTAGCACACGATTAACTCCTGCAGCTTGGGCAGCTCGTAGCGAGCCTTCGAACGAAAGCACGAGATGTAGGAGAAGGACAACATGAAGAGCGTAAAGCCTATCGCGCATGCGATGCCAGCGTTGGTCACGAGGTCTTTCGATTCGGTCACCATTGCTCCTGGAGTAGTATAGCTCCGCGGTACGTAGAGCGGGGAAGACCGGTGCTTGTAGGACGCTGTTCACCCCATAAGCATGGTCGAACAGGCAGGAGCATGCATGTCGTTGCGGAGGAATTAATAAAACTTGAAACCGAAAAAACACGCCCACCTCCGGATTGTCAAGACAACCGAGGGGCTCCGCCGGATCAACGAGAACGTGCGTGGTGCCGTGCTGTGGGGCACTGAACGCAATGCATGGCATACCAACAGCGCAAACACAACCGCAGCTTGTTGTGCACAGAGGAGAGACAACAAGCAGCGAGGCTTACGGCAGAGAGAAAGCCGGCGATACATTCTCCGTGGGCATAGTTCGCTTCAACGACCCTGAACTCAAGATGATGGCCACAGTGGAGCGAGATCCAGCAGGCTGGGATCCAGGTGAAGAAATTTTCGAAACGTACCCCGCGTCGTGCCATTGTTCCGGCCTCTCTGTCGATGATAGAGCTAACGAGCGGTGTGAGCGCTTCAGCCCATGGTCGTCCTACCCTCGTACCTCTCCCGCCCTCATGTCTCATTACCTCTGCCGCAAACCGTCGTCGCGATTTATTGCACCTCATCAGAGGATTCCCAAAGCGGGCAGAACCTTCTGGGTAAGAATGGCGGTGGTGGAAAGGGAGAAGGGGGGCGAGGTTCTCCACCTCCACCTGGCCCCAAGATAAGCATGTGTGGGCTGCTGTCGCTGCAGTACTACCAGCCGTACTTCGACGTGGACACGAGCGAAGTGAAGACAAAGCTACTGCAGGCAATATGGCCGATGCGCAAGACGGCTTCGTTCCTTGGAGAGGGAGACTCCTCCAAAGTCGACCTGTACGGCCCGGTTTGGGTGAGAGGACGACGCGTTTGTCGTACAAATCGGTCACGTCTGCTGTCATGGGACATGGCATCGACGAATCTGTTTTCTAAACTGCCGTGTAGCCTTTTCCATGTCCATATTTACCCTGTTTTCAACGCAACAGTAACTTGTTGTGATGGCATCCCGGAATCTCCAGCGTCTTCCCTGTCGGCGGAGATTTACCGACCACGAGAGAGCACCACCGACCCCCCTATCTCCAAGATTCTTCGCCTGCAGTGGTATGCTCCCGTTTGACCATCCTTCCGATTTTTCAAACGCACTCCACCATGACACTTGCTTTTTGATGTGACGCTCACGGGGTCGTGTATCAACGACCGCAGGTGTGAGGACGTAGCATGGTAAGGCTTGATCTATCTGTGGCGCGTGTTGGGATCAGCATCAGCCCGCGCATGTATATTTGTATCTCTCGTACAGCGTTGTTTCCCCCCCTGGTCGGGTGAAAACCTGACGTGCTTCGTCCCGGCATTGTTATGGATGCGAGGCCAACGGTCTAACAACTACGGCATGCACGGCTATGAGTGCACGCCGGTTCTTGTGTCAACGACACGAGTACACACTTGTTTGGTTCACGTTCTCCCGCCCGTGCCGACACGTACTCCGCGCAGGTGCCCGCGACCCTGATTTTCTTGCTCTCCGTCGCGGTAAACGCTCGACGAGCGATGACGGATGACGCCTCCTTGGGGGAGTTCGATGACGTGTCGACGAGCGCTTACTCGGTGCTGGCCTACCTGGCCATCGGTACCGGCGGGCTCTGGGCTTTCTTCCGGACGCATGGTGTGCCTCTATCTTTTGCCGAGGTACTTGGCCAAGGGCAATATTAATTTGGTCTGTGTATTCCACCTTATTTTTGTACCGGTGTGGGTAACAGGGAGCGCTGCATCCTGGCACATTCTCAGAGCCAGTCCTATTCCCGTGGGAGAGAGTTTTCTTGCAAACCCACGGATTTATTTGATCACCCGAGCGTGGCTTGTGCTGCGACAAACAATATTTGTATACCTATAGTCGAGTGTGAGCTGCGTGTGCTGTCTGTGTCTAGCCTTGGCGTGCCTCTGCGCCATTGTCGACGATGACTCGTTCATGCGTTTTCATCGAACTGGGCACCTTTTCCGTTTGTGCTGGGTGTTGACCTTGAAACGAAGGGCTACGGAAAGAGGCGGAGAGATGGTACCCCCCCCCCAATAGACCGATTTTCAAGCTCGATTAGTTCAAAACCAAGATTGTGCCAACACCATGAATGGTGGTTTTGGAAGCACCTCGTCGAATACATTCCGTTGACGTATCGGACTCTCTCTGCATCCACTTGTTTGAGGAGGAATCGAGCTTTGAGATTCGGTCTCGGGGGGCTGCCATCTCTCCGCCTCTTGTGGTATCTGTGTTCCTCGGATGCAGGACAAGGTTGAGAGGGCTAGAAGCGGGGACAACGTTTAATTTTTGATCTAGGCTAAGTTGTGCACGGTACTGCTTTGCGCATATGATGAGACGCGGCTCCTTTTTTTTTTTCGTCGTGTGTTCTACCGATTGTTGTATGCAAGAGGGAGGAACCCAGGAGCTGCCGAGCGTGTACGGCGATGTGATTCCCCCCTCTGCTGTTCCCTCCGGGCAGATAGACTGTTGTCCTTGTGCATTTCAGGTTGTGTTTCCCGTCCCCGCGTGCCTCAACCTCTCTTTGCCCCGCCTCCGATTGTTCCTGTTTTTCGTTTCGTCGCACCCTCCGCACCGCCCGGCCTGCCTGCGTGCCTTGTCCGCAGGCCCTCAGCGTATACGGTTATTCTCTCACCCCTTTCCTAGCGGCGGCCCCCCTCTGCCTGTTGTCGTGGCCGTTCCGATCGTGCGGCCTCGCAGCGGCGAGTCTGGTGGCGGCGATTTTCGTCCTCCGGAGCTCCTGGCCCCGGCTGCAAGAGCACATGCCCGAGAAGTCCATGGTGCTCCTCTTGACGGCGGTTGCCACCTACCACGTGTTGTGGTTCCTGTTGCTCACTGTTGTCTAAGGAACGGGGGTCAATGAAGAATGATCGGTAGTGTTGTGCGACCTTGCACGAATTGTGACGGCCGTACCGTAAGCTTAAGAGGTGAAGGTTCATCCCGGAGTAGACTATTTACCGTGTGTTTGTTCTGGAAATTGCCCGTGCCGTGTGTTATGTTGTGTGTATCTTGGTCAGGGTGATGTTCCGAGGGCAGGATTTTGCTGCCCACAAGTTGGGGTAGTTTTCCAAAGTTACGTGCGAATTAATTTAATTTGAAGTAGTCATGATAGGTGCTGGGACAAAACAAACGTGCTCCGTTACTCCGTTTTTCAAGCAAATTTGATGTTTGGTTTAGTGTACTGTACTTGCTACCCCCCAGGCTGGTGGTGCGCACGTTCCACTATTTATTTATTTATTTGTTTCTGATTCTTTTGTTTTCTTGTATTTTATCGCTCTGCTAACCCTTGGGGTCCATTTTATTTTGGTATACCATTTCTAGGTACGTTAGCCTGTGACCACGGAAATTGACCGAGTCAAGTGCTGGATTAGTACGGAGAGATTGAGACAGAAGGAGGTACAGAATAGAGAGACCGGGATGGTTTTTAATATGAAGACAACAACAACAACAACAACAACTTGTGTTTTGGTTTTCGCGACCTTGGCTTCAAATACCCCACCATTGTATATACGTAGATGATGATGGGGTGTTGCTGGCTAGCTTGCGCGCCCCAGCACTGACGACGTGTGCTACTTGACGTGCGGTAGGACTGAAATTTTTCGTCCAAAGGCAGGCACGTTCAAACTTGCTTTTTGCTGAGATGGTGGTAGCGCGGATGGAAAAGTCGTGGAGTGTTGTGCAAGCTTTGAGCAAGCGACACGAGGCAGTGGAATGACGAGTGGTCGAGTGCGTGTTTCTCTGGCTGAAAAGCAAGAAAATAACGGTGAATGTTTCATCGTACTCATACCTGCAGCAGCGTCCGGAGACCCCCGTGCGGTGGCTGCCGCCGACCCCTTCTGGCTAGTTATGGCGTGCGTGCACGCCGAGTCCGTTTGTATGTGGGCAATGAGACGAGGGATCCTGCGCTCCCCCCGATATAAGCATGTCTTCCCTCTCAGTAGTATTGATTCCTTAGTCGAGACGTTCCAACCTCCTAATCCAGTAGCTGCAAGTCTGGTGTACTCGTTACAGATGCTTTGCCTCTGCTGACGCCCTTGAAAGCCACATAATTCAATGCCGCATGAACTGAAACATACACACCCAAGGTACACGTTCGTTCCGGCGGCCCGATGATTGGTTTCTTCTTCTCTGACGTCGACATTTTGTGGCGTGTGTCCGTAGTGTGTGATGAGCTGCCCCCATCAGTTTGAATCAGAGTGCCCCTTCCGCATTTGACTTGTCGAAAGGAAAAAGGCACCTGCGAGATACATCTAGATTGCGGCACGATGCTTGTTGTTTCGTTGTTTACGGATGGCGCCCGCACTTGAGAACCTCTAGTTTCGGCCGAGGCTGGGGTTCTTATTTTGCTTATCATCCTCTTGTGGGCTACAAATGGCCTCTATATAGGTTTTAGTGTGGGGTTCTCAACCGAGCTCACAAATGGTGCTCAAGTTCCTAGCTTCTGATTTTTTTTTTTTCTTAATATGACACAACGAGTCCATCTCTATCATAGAAAAGAGTCAGAGACAGATTAACAATGGAATCATCGCGTCAGAGAAAACTACCTGTGTGTCTACGATTTCCCAGACAGCATATAGGGACATCTCCCCTGTGGGTAACAGGCTCAACAAATCAGTTTGGTAGCTGTCTTGTGTGTCTCATATATGTTATGTTGGGAAGGTGCAGACGAAAGGTGTTGGGTACTGTTGGGTAGTCGGGCGTTTTGTGTGTCGCACCCTATTAGTTCTAACACATGCAATCTCCATCAGTTTACAAACATATTCTCAGTTTGGTATGCATATGTGCGGAGTATGTGCGGCTGATGTGCCATCTCTATCATAGAAAAGAGTCAGAGACAGATTAACAATGGAATCATAGCGTCAGAGAAAACTACCTGTGTGTCTACGATTTCCCAGACAGCATATAGGGACATCTCCCCTGTGGGTAACAGGCTCAACAAATCAGTTTGGTAGCTGTCTTGTGTGTCTCATATATGTTATGTTGGGAAGGTGCAGACGAAAGGTGTTGGGTACTG